TCACAGAAGCTGGAGCTCTCATCGACAATTTCTACTTTATAACCATTACACTGGCTTGAATTATGAGGTCTATGACGACGAGTGGTAAAACGATGAGATTAATTGTACTATGTGTATATAAAATATTATCTGAACCAAAGAGATAAGCTTTCGCAAAGAACTTGCCTTATCTGAATTCTGCACGGATGGTCCCTCTTTCACCTCTTTCGAGGAACAACCTCTGATTCTTGTTCCTTGAGTTTCTAGAAAGGGCACGAATCAAAGACATGTGAAAACAGCTTGACACATCAATTAACTAACCATCTGTAAAACTTTCCAAGCAGGAGACACATCTTTTGGGTCAATCTGAGCAGCAGCGCCTTTCACTTTAACATGTACCATAATAAAGCTGAAATAACACCGCCTCGAATTCAGCAACAGCGGTTGGAGAGCTGCTTTATACTTCGTTCCGAGCGATGAAGCTTAAAATAGCAGAATATGCGAAGGAAGCCAATTGCTGCAATAGACGTTCGAGAACTTCAGCGCACAGTGTGTTAGGCGTAGTTACAGACACGGTTTCATATTCTGCGGTGCATAGTCAGAGCCGAGGCGAGCATTTAAAACTTGACGGGTTTATCTACCCGTGATGCTTGTTCGAGGTGGATGGAGATTGGGGAAAGTTGCTCCATTGTGTGGGGCTAGATCGGTTTCCTCAAAGTATCCCAGACCTACACCACGACCGTATAGGTGAGGATGGAACATTTCCTTTTTTTCGCATACTGAAAATTAACGTTTATTCACTTCAAGGAGGCGTCTCTTCGAAGCTGCTGTTGCTCCTGTTCTTCCCGAGAAGTTGAGAGTCTGCTCTCCTTACGTCTTCAAAAGAGGACAAGAGCTCGAGGTATGTATGTATACATTTAGCGTCATTTCATACGCGACTGCTTACCAGTACATAATCTTAGAATGTCGCAAATTTTCTGTTCTCTCTAAACACCGAGCCTGATTTGATATTTACTAAAATTATTCTCAGAAAAAGAAAAAAAGCTAGTTTGTGACCAGAACACTTTAACCTAGTCGGAAACGTACTCGTTGTACTTTCTGACATTTGGCCCTTTTGTGACGGTAAGCGAAATCATTAGCTATGGATGGGCGAGAAATCTCGAGGGGTGCAAGGAGTCCCTCCGCTTGTTTCCGGAGGGTGTCACCAAATAAATATTCAAAGAATTTTGCACGCTTTTATACTTTCGAGAGTCTTCATGCCCTCCATAATCCGAGGTTTCTGCGACAAGCGTGCGAAGATTAGGAATGGTCTAAATCATTCCCGCTGTCGCCTCCGAAATCGCTGAATATATCTGAAACGGTACACTCTAACAAAAAATCAGCACTTTGGTACTTTTTTTTGTGCACATGCGAGTTTTCAACCTTCAAAGGATCACAACAACTTCTTTCCAAGTTATTAATTCGGGAGGTTGAGGTCAGCATGACAAACTTCAAGATTCAAGCTTTCTAAAAAGTACTGGAACTTATTCCGACAATTTATGCGAGCGGAAATGAGTTGCCTGGACTTTTATTTGGGGGGGGGGGTTGTGGGTCTATTTTTTTTGGAATTGCAAGTTTTTAACTTCAAATCATATCCCAATATAATCACAATATCCTTGAGACTAATTGATTTGGGAAGCTAAAACCAGTATGACAAACTTAAGGAGTGAAGTTTCTTCTATTTACATAATCTCCTGTCAATTCAACTCTTATCAGACCTTCTATAAGTGAATTTCCAAGTGGTGCTCCTCCTGATCGCGCTATTCGACTGTTCTTCAAATCAGTCCCGGAGTTTTATTTTCGCCTCTTATTTCTCCTGGAACACTGGCTATGAATGCGTTCTGAATCTGTGCATCCTATTCACGTAGAAGAAGTTCGATCTTTTCTTTACTTTCAGTATGATGAGGTGGAACTAGCTCTCAGCAAAATAGTGAAGAAATGGATTATCTCAGAAGAATTTAACTACGTATATGATGAAGTGGAACTAGCTCTCAGCAAAATAGTGAAGAAATGGATTATCTCAGAAGAATTTACTGTATTAGCCGTCTGTCAGTTCCTTCCCGTACCTGGACGAACTTTATGGCTGACTAAGAATCAGTGAGTTTTAAAGTTCAGTCAAGATGTCTCTCAGGCTTTTTTATGTTGGTTTTCACATACATTTTACATCTTTTCTACCATTTTCCCATTTCGACTAGTTTTTTTTTCCATTTTGCAATATGATTCCATTTGCTGTTTCATGGGTAGGGCTTCATTGCCCAACAATCATGATCTTGTTGGTTTAATAAGTACTTTAGATTACGAATGAAGGGATTAGAATTTCGCTCATATGGTAATCGCATAATGCGGAAGGTATTTGAAGGTAAATTATTATTAACATTTGTGTTTCTCTTACCTTAACAGCATCACCCTGCTCTGCGTGTATTAGTTGCATTGCTTACCTCGGGTAAAGCAACATACTCCACATATTCAAACGTTACAAAGAATAGAATAATATTATAAGATGAACGGATTTTGTCTGAAACAATGCTTCAAACTGTGTGCACGGTGTGTTCAAGATATTGACATTTGCACCGACATTACCGCCTGTAATGTAGTTTTGATATTTACTGCATCCTAGGGCAGCATACATTTCTATGATCAGGTAAATCCTAAGCCAACAAACGAATCAAGTCAACAAATCTTAAATTGGAGTTTCCAAACTACAAAAGCTCTGTAGTCAACAGGGCATTAGTGAATGCTGGAACTTTGGCTGGATAATAATCCTTTTGTTCATAATCGACGATGTAAGAGGTCGTCACTTTGGTGAGCCAATGTCGCGCATTCGCTCCTACGAAGTTATAGTTGGCTTTTTGATGAGGGGTTGTATTGAGTTGAATTTTCAGTGCGGTCTTAGGAGGGAAAGCAGGAGTTACTTAAGTGTGGAGTTTCTTTTTTGAGAAGTTGATCAGAACCTTCGGAAAACTTAACAAAATTCGGGAATTTTATGGAGATTTCTGACTATTTTCTGTTTCGTTACACCTCCGCCTTGCTGATGGGCTTTTGGGGTATGGGAGGTATAGCTTGAGACAGAATGGAAGGAGGATCAGAAAAGGGCCTTGAAGACGAGAGTGAGTTATGGGAATCTAATAGTTGAGGGCCGTATTAGCGTTATAGGTATGTTCCTCGATACATGCACTCTCCTTTCCAGGAAAATCCTAATTTTTATCAACGAATTCGCAATCTTCCACATTTTGATTGAATTGAAAATCTCAAAGACAAAAGTTTTAATGACAATCAGCGACCCCATGTATTTGGCCGAGCCTGGCAATCTATACTCGCGTTTCCTTAGCTGTAGTACTCGATCATTTCGTTAGTTTAGGAACTCCACTGTCAGCATTGAACCCTGTACTGGTTCAAACGAACGCCATGTTGTTCGGAAAAGACTTATCAGCACTCAAAGCTCTGAGCGATGAAGCGGAAAAGATCAGCTGGATAGTTCCTCTAGGTTTGTCTTGCTGCTAATCAACGGTCACTATAGGTTTTTCGAAAGCTGCACAAAAGTTATTGTCATTCCAGCATGTGTGGCAAATGGACGTATTATGTCAATGGAAGAGGTTAAACAATTCTCGAAGGTTGGCTCCTTGGCAGACCATCATGTGGAGACTGTGCAGATCCTCTCTTCACAGCTTGAACAGCTTTCACGAACTCTTGACTCACAGTCTCATCAGCTCGTTTCTGCCCTTGATCAACTTGCGAATCGTACATCTTAACGTTCACCTACACATTTGATTAGTTGTTGTATAGGTTAAATGTAGGTTTTTCGCGAGGAGCGTTTATGTTTGTGATTGTTGTTGTGTTATAGCAGCATGGTTAAGCGTCATTGTTTATAGGTTTACGTTGTACAGAAGTTCAGTATAAATTCTATTTTGTAGATTTCCAGAGGTTTGTAGAAGGCAGATTCCTGTTTCAAATAGTCTTTCAAGCGTTTGTTAGTTGCATGGTGCGTGTGTATGCATCGGTTCCGTGAGCCTGTATAAAGCATCAATAATTCATTTAATAAACCCTTAGAGTCTAAGATGGGAAATTATATCATATAGATGAAGGTGAAAGCTCTTGGTAAGAGGTTTTTCGTTGCATACTAGTCTTGAAGTTCATTAGCCGGTTTTAGAGAAGAGTTTTAGAGCACACCGAAAATTGCAGAGAAAAAAAATTTATGAGGTATTGGGTAGATTCGCGAGTGAGGGTTTATGAACGCTCTTGATCGCTCCAATAACCCACTTTCAAGACCGTGGCTATTGGAGTCAGCACTGGTCGTTGTGGAGCACTATGGACTCCTTTTGCTTTCGTGTAACCGCTTTGGCCGTTCTGCCACTCGACCTTAGAATGAGTTCTGTTCTTCAGTGGACAACTGGGCACTCCTTCGTAACATGCTCTAGATGGTGTATTCTTTCATCCAGGGATGAAGTCCTTTTGAGAGGATGCCTTCAGTCTTCCAAATGACTTCTTGTTATTTGTTGTTGTTCTAATTTGCACTCACAAGGGAGGTCGTTCAGGGTGTGGAGCGCTTTTTCAAAACGGTTTTTTGCATGCTGTAGGGGCTCTCACGGGGACTACAAACTATGTTTCATTTTCGCTGAGCGGCCCCCTGAAGGCCAAAAAATGGTGAGGAAATGGTCCAAGGTTCAATCCCTCCTGATGACAAAATTTTTGCATTCGGTTGGAGCCTCGAAATTCGCTCAAAATAGCGCCAGCACCAATATTAGGTACCGTATTCATTATCAAGACCATGAATGAGTACTGCACTCGAACTATTGCTAGAATCTAGCGGAAAAAAGTTGTAGCGCCAAATGGCGCCTAAAAAGCGCTAATTGAAGCTATCGGAAAAGATTGATGTCATATTCATGATCAGGGCACTCGATATTCTCTAAATTAGCAGTTCTAGAGAAAATTGAGATTTTGACCTTGGTCCGAAAAATTGGCCATTGATAGGTCAGCCCGTAAGTACCTGCAGCTGGTGAATCTGGAAACGAATTCCTTGTTCTCCTTCTCAAATAATGAGAAGTTCCAATACTAAATGGACAACGGCAGACACCCAAGCTGGTGATGGACAACAAGACACCATGATTTCGAAGTCGACAGATTCCTCCCTCCATCAGGACGTGGTCATGTCCTGGACCCACGGGTCCTCCGCCGAAAGGCGGGACCACCTATGAGACGTGGCATAGTGAGTCACGTCAAGGCATGGAGGCCTACTTAAGCCGCCGCCAGCCGGGAACGGGAGTTCCTGCCGAGTCCAGCCTTGGGCTCCCTCGTCTACCCCTTTCCCCCTTATTCCCTTATCTTATTATGTAATGAATAAATATGTGTATGGCTATCCCGTGTATCTAAATACCACACCGCTACACAACCTTCAGGTTAAAGGGCCTGTACAACCTTTAATCTGATATGGAGGTCCCGGGATAGATTTCAAACTCCTTTTTTTCATGGGAAAAAAAGGGGAATTCTTTATTGGTACCACAAGTTTCGATTCCCAACCCTCCCTTCATTCCCCATCGCCTTCGTCTTTTCGTCCAAATGTGCGCACATATAACGATTGACTACCCCGACGATGATATCACAGGACTTTCGTGTGAGTAAATTCTTTTTTGTCTTGTTCTCAACCCTCACACGAATTAGGGAAAAATGGAAGGCCTAGAAATGTCTAGACTGTTCAGGTGCTTTGCAGCACCCTATTTTCACCCCGTCAAATGTCCCTCTGCAATTGCTGCATGGACTATGACCTTCCCCCCTCCAAAAATAATGGTCCCGGCGAAGGGTCCCTTTCAGACGAGTACATTATTTACCCAAATAAATTGATAACTTACTGATACATTAAAAATCTTAGAATTACTTATATATAATCCAAAAAATAAGTAAAACGTACCTGTTAAAGCGCCTTTAGCTATTTATCAGATTAAAGGTTGTACAGGCCCTTAACCTGAAGGTTGTGTAGCGGTGTGGTATTTAGATACACGGGATAGCCATACACATATTTATTCATTACATAATAAGATAAGGGAATAAGGGGAAAAGGGGTAGACGAGGGAGTCCCAAGGCTGGACTCGGCAGGAACTCTCGTTCCCGGCTGGCGGCGGCTTAAGTAGGCCTCCATGCCTTGACGTGACTCACTATGCCACGTCTCATAGGTGGTCCCGCCTTTCGGCGAGGACGTGAACCAGGGACATGGACAAAGTCCCTGTCCGAG